CCCCTTAGACCACCCCAATCTTTTCTCCCCCCTGCGCGGGGGGGGGGGGGGGGGGCCCCCCCCTTTTTGGCCAATTTTTTTTAAAAAACCCCCCCTTTCCCTTTCCGGGAAAAACCCCCCCGGACCCCCCCTTTTGGGCCCCCCCCTTTTTTCCCGAGGGGCCCCCGGGGGGCCCCCCCCCCCCGATTTTCCCCCCCCCCCCCCCCGCCGCCCCCAACTTTTTTTTTTTTAAATTTTTTTTCCCCCGGGGGGGTTCCCCCCCCCCGCCCCAGGGTTTTGGGGGGGGGGGGGGGGGGCTGTGGATTGATGATGAATTATTGAGCATAGGGGGGGGGGGTAAGATGATCAGATGGACCGGTACGGACGTTAGAAGGTGGTAAACTGAGCAGAGGCCCTAACAGTTCAGCAACAACAAACAAAAACCACAGCAGCAATGGAGAGTTTATACATGCAAAAAAAAAGGATTCACACTCGCAAACTACGGGTGGACGGCAAGGGCAAAGGCCGGGGTAAGCAAGGGGAGACAGACCACTCGTGTCGCACCTAGCACGTTGCCGTCTTCAGTAGCCAGCACCACCTCCAAAGCGCCGGACGCCGTAAACTGTGGCTCGAGTACGGCCATGGCAGTCAGGGGAGCCGCGTTAGCTCCCAACCCGGCAGCCATGCTGAAGTGCCTGTTGTTGGCATGGAACGGCAGAGAGGGGGTCGAGCAAGTCCATAAGCTAGCCAAGGCAACCGCTAAGAAAACCTAAACGCGAAATACTTGCGGGTCCTGGCCATTGAGCCCATCTATAGATCCCCCCATACCCGTGATAGTGTCGGAAAAGGGATTGCTTATCGGAAATAAACGTGGGAAACAAGCATTTTCACGAAGGGTCTCGTAGTTCGTGTGACCCTCTCACGATGACCATCAAAGCAGCACTCAACTACCGCGGTTGGTCCTACCAGACTTGGGGGGGTGGAGACAACAATACCGTGGAATGTTAACAAGCCGATACATATCTATGGTCGTCATGCTCCGGCTAGAAGGCAGCACAACCGTGCCGCCTCTTCGCCAACTCGGTACTGCCACAACTCCCTGGCGCTCCGACGATAGAAATTCCAGACAAGAAGAAACAAGCCTGCCTGCCGTTAGAGAACCCAATAACCAAAAAGGCGTCAGAGACATAAACAGGTCGAAAATGACGCAAAAATACCAACAACACTAAGTCATCTAGTAGCAGCGCACCTTTATGGCAATAACACCCGCAAAAAAATGACAAAAAAAACAAACAAAACGAAGTGATCTATTATACAGCAGAGATATATATCACCTTGGCTCAGAGGAGTGTATGCCGGACACCGCCTTGACCTTTCCGCTCCCCATGAGCGCCACCACCCCGTCACCCCACACCTCGCAGGCCGCCACCCTGTCGGGCTCCGAAGAACGCCTCGAGGAGTCGTCCACCAGCTCCAGAGTCTTGGACAACTCCCCCTGACATAAAAAACATTTTTTGCAAAAGACGGGCGCGCCAATCGTAGCGGTTGATGCAGGGGGGTGGTGTTCCAGAGCAGTGGTGACAAAAAAAAAGAAGACAAAAACGGAACATTTGGTGCTGGAACTAAAATAAGCCCACCAGCTCCAGAGGTTTGGACAATTCCCCCTGAAAGAAAAACAATGCTTGGATGGGCACGCCAATGGTACTGGCTTTCGATTCAGGGGGATGGTTCTGTGCCAGTGGGGACGAAACAACAGAACACTGCTGTAGCACGTTTGGCGCAATGCACGGGACTATGTGCCAGGTGAAGGTGGTGTGGTTGTGCCAAAGTAGGACGGCTGCCTGATGTTCAGAGGATATACAAGTATACATAACGAAAGTAGCAATCACTAGTGCCCGTTCGAGGGCACGTGTTGTAAAGTAAGCCTGTACAACGGGTTTGGAGTTCGTGGCAGCCACGGCAGCTATTTTGACTATCTGCAGGCCGCCATGCGTTTTCCACAGGGATAGCACTAGCCGCAACGGTCACACCTCCTTCTCAGAGCGACGCACGTAGCATCCACCAACGGAAGTCGCCGTTCGGTACCTCGCATGCAACCAACAAGAGGACGCGGTCTCAACAGCAACAACAGCCACAACTTGGGAACCAAAAAAGCTAAATTTTCTTTCTTCGAAAAAGCTAAAATACTTTCTTCGAAAATCAAAAAAATCTTTCTTCGAAGTATCTATTTAAAAGATCTTTCTTCGAACAATCTAAAATATCTTTCTTCGCGCATTACACCACGACCAACTCCACCGAGTAGAACAAACGTCGGGGTAACGGCGCACTTCGACACAAAAAAAAAATCCCAAATCAACCAGGGGGAGAAAAACCGTCGCCGCCATCACCGACCAACCACAAAGCAAGGCCCAAAAAGCAGCTGCACGCCTTACCATGATGTCGCGGACCTCGACCCCCCCCCTCTCTCGGACCATGACCAGCATCTCGCCGTCCGTCCACCCCATCGTCAGCAGCCGGCCTCGCTCCGAAGCCGTTCCCGGTGCCTGCACGGCTTTGTCCAGAATCGTCTCGGAAATTGTGCCCCCGGCGCAGTTGCACACCCGAAGGGTAGGGACGATAGAGTCCTTGGCAGACATCTGAAAAGGAGGCGTTGCCCATCGCGTACAATGGGTGGGGTGGGGGGGGGG